TTCGATCTTTGTCCGCACACACGTCAAATTGCATCTCGATGCATCTTGAATGATTTATTTGACACTATTGTCTTTATTAATAAAACTGAAAATTTGTTTAGACGAATCCAATACAATAAATTAACTCTTGAATATCTGAATTATTTATATCAAGAAATACAACACACAATTAGATTGTTGTAATATGGATATAAAAAATAATTATAAAAATGTGCGGTATGCAAAATAATTTAATGTAATTTTTTTCTAAATTCAACACAAACGCCTAGATATATTCAAAAGATATTTCAATTTTTTGCAACCAATGTTGGACGTCTTTAGATATTTCCATGTTACATTACGTATTCACCATTTCGGCTTTCTCGACACTACTTATGTAGGCGTACTCGTACCGTATAAACATTAAGAGTTAACTTTTATACTTTGCGCCGTGAAAAGTGCAAATTTGATGAATGATTGAAAAACGTACGGCGATCGCAGCAAGATAACGTGCCGAGATGGGCAAAAGATGGGTTCGCCAAATGCGGAAGTGATCGGCCACAGATTGCATCGCTGCACGACGCGCTCTTGCATATCCCTGTGCTAGCGCTATAATTATGCGGCTAGACTTTAACTCCTTGCCCACGTCGCACAGGCAATTATGGCGTTCGAATTTTGCGATTGCGAATTCTGAAGAATGCTGAGGAACTATGAGTAATTATGCACGAGTTGCGACCCGCGCCATTATCGCGGTCGCTTATCGCTCGTATCGATTTGTACAGAAATATAACGATCGCTGCCATATCCTGTGACACGTGGGCGCTAGTTGTCTTGTATCATTCGAGGTGCCCATGATAATTTCCCTTCTCGAGATATAATTGAAATCGGCGTTTCACCGGATGTCGACCGCGATCCATCTTTTATCAGGTAGCGGACGAAAATTGATCTCTTACCCTCGAGAAAAAGAGAAATAGTAGGACTGGATTTTCTCCTAAATCTGATTGTATTATTCTAGAACATCGATTTTCAATCTCGGTTTAGTCATACGATTTAATATATCGAATTATCTAATTGAGAGCCAATCTTTTTTAATAGATTAACAATTTTTAACGTCTATATACTTCAAATAAAATTTTTATGTTTTATATATATATATATATATATATTTATATATAATGTATATAATTATACCGAAGATTCAGTAAGAAGGTTTCAAATATTCAAAG